GGAGTTGCGAAGATGACAAGAGATGTATTTTGCTTGGCTTCCTTCATGAAAGCCCTTGCACCTATAAACAAGGATTTGTTTCTAGACATTATTTTGGCAGATTCCACCTTCAAGGAGTTTGTTGGAAATGTCACTTTCCGCAACTTCCAATCTATCAATGGATTATATCTATCAAGCCAAGATAGTCCCAAAATGATAGGACATGAAGGGGTCTTGATAACATTAAACACAATATTGCTCTCATGGTTTTCAAGACATACCTTCAATGGTTTAGTTTCATGGATAACATTGCCCGAAGACAATGGTCGTCCGTCTATGACTTCTACATGGACAGGCTTAAGTTTCTTTACAAGAGAAATATTGTGAAGCTTGACAAACTCTTCATCTATAAAGCAAGCGGATGCACCCGAGTCTAATAAAGCATCGACTTGTAGTTCTTGAATACCCAAATGTAAAGGTATCATAAAACAATCTGAAGGTTCAGTTGAGAGAAAGGGACCTTGATTAATTTTGGATGTTGAGATGTCCAGCCGCACGGTCCCTATTGTGGCTGGGCGTCCTTGTTTTCCTACATGCTTGTACTCCTGAGTCTTGTTGTTTGAGGCTTCTATTTCTTCCGACAATCTACAGCTTTATGGCCCGCTTCTCCACAATATAAACACAAGTTTTGTTCAAACCATCGCTTCCTTTCCTCAGCTATGAGGGGTTTGAAACGTACCGCATCAATTTGCATGGGTTCAGGATCTGTGGAGTGATTCTCTGGACCTTTTGAAAATGTAGCAAATGCTCCATTATTTCTCCAGCCTGATCGTCTTTCTTGTCGTAATTCAAAGAGGCGGTTGTCACAAATAATTGCCTGAGATATAAGTTCTTCTAAAGTATCCGCCTTAGGCATGGTGATCAATAAGTTCTTGACATCATCTCTTAGTCCATATCGAAATCGTGTCATGAACGCCTTATCATTCCAATCAAGATCACATGTAAGCTGTTGAAATTCTGCAGCATAGATTGCAGCAGAACTTGATCCTTGTCGCAGATTTTGTATCTTTCTTTCAGCCACTCTTTCTCGATCGCTATCTCCAAACGCAGCAGTAAGTCTCTCTATGAAAGCCTCTAGGTCGTACAATATTAGAGAATCCTTCTCCAATAGTGGAGCAAACCAAGAGCGAGCATTTCCTGATAGAAGAGTACCTATGAAAGCAACATGGATAAATCTATTCGGATAACGAGAAGGGTATAGGCGTAGGTAAAGCCGTACTTGTTGCACAAAACCTCAGAAGTTGGCTCTTGTTCCGTCAAACTTGTCTGGCATACTCGCTTTTGGTTCTTTCGTACTAATCCTTGAAGTATCCATAGGGGTCGTATGTGACACATGTCTTGCTTCTCTCAGTCGAATAATCTCTTGTTGTAGGCTATGAATTTCACGTCTAGCTTCTTCGGTCACTAGATCAATTTGAGGTTCTTTACTTGGATTGCGAAGAAATGCAATCTCCTTTCGTACACTATTCATAAGAGCTTGAAGATCTGCAAGAGTTGCCACTCTATTGTCTACTTGTGGAGATGCATTGTCTATGATCTGGTCTACTTCCATATTTAGAGAATAGATGGATTAAAATTTTGAGAGAAGAAGAAATTGCTAAGTCTCTTGGAGAAAATTGTAGCACTACCTGTCACTAAAACCTACTCGGAGAAAAGAAAAAAAACACTAAACGATTTCAGTTTTAGAGGAGGGTAATCCGCAACCTCTAAAAATGCCTCAATGCTTTCGAGAAGAGGGGTAATCCGCACTCTATCAAGAAGGCAAAGCTCTGAAATCGATGTTAACAGTCTTTTTTACTAGCTATGCTAAACAAAAAGAAGGAATTAATATCAGTCCAAGGGAGGGTAATCCGCAACCCTTAGAACGCTCAAGTATCTCCAAGGAAAGGGGTAGTCCACTCTCTGCCTCAAAGAACTAAGCTCTGATATTGTGATTGAGAAAATATCAGTTAGAGGAAGGTAATCCGCAACCCCTAAAGTGCTAAAATACCTTCAAGAAGAGGAGTAATTCGCTCTCAAACAAGAAGGATTCAGCTCTGATATTAAGATAAAGGTAGTCTCGACAAACTGTCACGGACCAAAAATACAAACAAGAAATCTAAACAAGAAGTTCAAGAAGAAATGACAAGAACTAGATTATCAGATGAGTACAAGAGCAACGCCAAGAGAATTGACCTAGAGCTTCAAGAGATGTCTTGTCGAGACTGAAGAACTCTTCAGCCTCGATTCCTATATATACTATTGGCCTATGGTTCTAAGGAAGCGCATCAAGAAGCTTCCCAAGAACTATAAAGCTTCTCGAGCAACTACCCAAGAGCTAGGAAGCTTCTCAAGTAACTTCCTAGAATCTACTAGAATATTCTAAGAATCTTCTAGAGCTTTCTAAGAGAATCTTTAGGGAATCTTCAAAGAATCTTTAGGGAATCTTTGAAGAATATTCTAAGAGAATATTCAAGGAATCTTCTGGAAGTTTCTAGAGACTTCTTTCTAGAAGGTTCTAGAAACTTGTCTCTAGAAAGGTCTAAGGACTATGTCCCTAACATGTTGCGGATGTTAATACAACTTTGAAGTTTGACCTTGTTGTCCAATTTGTCTTTGTGTTTTTGCAATTGTGCTTGAAGAACTTGATTTTTGTCCAATAGGGCCAAAAAAGTGGCATAGTTATGGACATTGTTGTCAAATGTTAATAACAACAACAACCAAACTTATATAAGATTTCTCTTCAATGGAAAGATATGATATTTATTGGAAAAAAATAATCAAGTTTCATATATATATATATATATTTATATAATAAAAATGAATTATAGAAAATTCTGAAGACAATGGCTACTGGTTCCACTCAGCCTTGCCACATTCAAAATTGCGTTCCTCATAATTCAGGAAGGCTTATCAGCTTTACAATGTCTGTTTGAGGAAGTAGAGTTTAGGGTTTTACGTGAGGCTCGTCATCAAAATGGCATAATATACATCAGTGTGCACTGTTGTCCCAGATTGATTGTCTTTTCTCAGTATTTCAACGTCAATTTCTGATGGGTTCTGTTTCTTTAAGGTCCGCATTACGAGATTGTGCGGCAAGTTTGAAAGTGAGCTCAGAGACTCTTTTGCTTCTTTACGAAATGTTGAATCATCTTTGAACCATTTAGTTTTTTGCAACACATTTTTGTCTGACTTAGGTAAGCGGTTTTGGGCGTGCAGCCTTCATTGCAGAGCAGAGGTGAAAACTTTGGGAAACATGCGATCGGAGTTTGAGACGCCTTCCGTGCAGAACCAAAAACATGGACGAGGTATTTGCATGCTCACTAACAAAGAATTGAAGGCTGCAGTTATGAGAAAGGTTTAACACTACGTCTGATGAGGATGAAAGTGTAGATCGGCACATGTGTGTCAAACTCAGGGCAACCATTTGCTGAAGACACTGTGCCCCGTCCGAATGAAAATGGAGAGTTAGTTAAAGGTGACGAAGATTGTGGTGACGAAGGGGAAGACGAGGACGTAGCTGAAACGAGCACGGAATCGGACTGTTGAAGGGCAGGAAGACCTCTGTAGCACATTAGGTTTTTCATCACCAGGAGGAAGAAACACTCGAACCTCAATCAGATCCACTGATGTCAAAGGTCAGTAAATTTGCATCTCAGGTGGTAGAAATCCCTGTTTGGAGACGAAATTGTTTTCTTCAATTTGTGAAAACATTTGTTCGAATTCAACCAAGTCTCGGATGTGTGGCTATTTGTGATTCAGCTCAAAGGTGTTCGCAGTTGCCTTAGAATTCTCACATGTTTCCAGGTTCTTACTGTGGTGGATTTTATGCTACTCGACTATAAAAGCTTCTGTAGGATGGTGAAATCCCGGGGCAGCAAAAGAGGAGCTGTCGTAAACTGTTTTCGCCCGGGTTCGAACCGGAGACCTTCAGTGTGTTAGACTGATGTGATAACCAACTACACCACGAAAACCCGGTACCTGACCTGATTATTAGTAAAGAAATATTTTTAATGTAGATTGTTTTACGCTGGATTCTGGTGGTGATTGGTTTGAAAAGTTTTTTTCTCAATTTTTTATTTTATTTTATTATGTACGTGGTCGAAAATGTTTAGGTTTCAAATAATTATTCAATTTGAAATTCTAGTATATTTATTTATCTTTTATCAGTTTACTTTTATTTCTCCTTCTATTTTTTACACATAGTCATATTTTATACAGATATCTTCCTACTTCAAGAATCAAATTGAAATTTGAATTAGTACTTATTGGATCAATTATCGAAAAAAATCCACACAAGCACCAAAATTTACGCATTGCAAATGATTTCACAGCAAGGTCTTCTATTAAATGGTAATGCTTTTTGATTAGGGAACCTTTTGTTTAATTAGTTGAAATTACACACAGTGCCAGGACATTGAGGTCAAATGTGTTGAGATTGTGCAACTCTGCAACTAGAACTCTGCTGAATTTTAATATGTTTATTTGAGATTTGAACTTGAACTAGTGTACAGCTTTTGAACTGTGATGGTCTACAAGTATGGTTATAGAATCTCATTCCATAACGCTTTACTATAAATATAAAACAAAAATCATGTATATATATATATATATATATATAAGAGAATGTTAAATAGACCCATGCTATTTCTAAATTTATCCATATGGTTTCTAAATAAATAAAAATATGGTAATCATGATAAATGTGGTTGGTTTTTATTGATTGTAGATCCAATAGTTGAGAAACAAATCTAGAGGTTTTCTTTTACCTTTTCATGATAGTTAGGATGGGTGTATTGTATATATATATATATATATATCACTTGGTCAATCTTGCACTGAGTCACTATTGTGCCTAAAAAGTAATTAAATAATTAAAACGAATGTGAAAAGTTTGAACACCTACAAACACACTCTCTCTCTATACAAACAAGCTCTCTCTCTATTCACATGGAAACGTCATGTGAACAACAAGGGAACAGCAAGGAGGGAACAAGGCCTGTGTCGGTGCCAACGCCGCAGACGATGAGACGAGGCGGAAGAAGCAAGACGAGTGGAAGACGCAGCTGCTGCTGCTGAAGATTCAATCAGTCGATCTCTCTCGCTCTCGCTCATTCAATTACTCCAACTATCAGCCAATCAGTTAGTGGATTAGTTTGCAAGGTGGTCCAAGCTCGCAATTCCGCCGCAATGGCACTCAGTTGCGGCTCTATCTCAACCTCCTCCTCTCTCTGCTGCCTTTCTCCCATCGCTTGTACTCCTCCCGCATCCCTCGCCTGCCATTTCCCTCTCCGCGGGGGATATCTTCAGCTAGAATCACGTCATCTAGCTTCTAGTCTTGGTAATTCCTCCGCCCAGCTCTCGTTTAGTGGTTCGCTAATTTCGGTGTCTGTTTCTTTTCTTTTTTTTCGTTTTTAGGTGTTGGGTCTGTGGTGCTGGATTTTTGGGTTCCAATGTTGTTGTGGGTTCATGTGGGTTTGTAGCTATGGGACTTGAGCCCACGTTTGGATTTTACAACTGGGTTCCTGAATCCTGAGGTTTTGGTATGGATTTCGACGGTATTTACTGATTGCCCTGTTAGTAGTTGAATTTTTTAGAAATATATTTCTTGTCTTCGAATTGTAGTTGTTGAATTCTTGATCAAGAGCAGGTGGGTCGTCAGGTTTCAGGAATAGGAAGTTGTCTGCGAATTGTTATGGTTCTGGTATCCGAGCATCATTGGACAATTCTTCTCCAGGGCCAGGTACTGCTTATTCCTAATATTTTTGTCTGTTATCACTCGAGAACTACCTTGACATTGCCTGTCTAAGGACATTTATTCATGGGAATCTCAATGCGGTTGTTTATCCCATGAAGTTGCTTGGATTCATTGCTGCCACCACCGTACATTTACTTTCCACGCAAATTGCTGAACGTAGCTTGTTCTTTCCATAAATTGCCTAGGACTTGTTCTCACACACTTAATCAAAGTGGGAATTGCTGGTTGCTGTTAAAATTCTGCACTTGTCTTGCCAACTCAATAGTGAAATAACAAGAGATAGTTGTTGTATATGAGAGAATATTGTACATCAATATCTGGTGTTTCTTGTGTTGTAAACACAAAGAACCACAGATTAGTTGTCTCAATATTCATCGTTAGTGGAATCATATATCCAACCTAGGAATTCAAGAATCCAAGTTGACGTTGCTAGCTGGCCCTTAACTGATATTCCAGTTGAAGCAAGCCTTTATATATTAGAAGTATAAAAGTTGGGATTTTGTTGCTACAGCCTTAGCGTGAGTCCTTCTAAGAAGAATTTTTGTGTTTTCCATCACATGTGGGTGGTTGTTGTAGTTCCATGGAACTCCATGCGTACCTGATTAGATTTTATTTTGCACTTAACAGTTGAGTTTCGATTTGTTGAGAATCTCCATATTTTACAGATGAAGATAAGAATGTTTCAAGAAGACAAGCATTGCTGGCAGTGTTGGCTTTTACAATCCCAGGTTCCCAAGTATTTCAGCCACAAAGGTTTCCTCAAGCTTTAGCTGTTGAGTATGTTACCTTAACCTACTGTTTATTATTATTGATATTATTATTATTATTATTATTAGTACAAGATTGAATCTCTTTTTGTTGGGCGTCTGCACTGCTGTCTCAATTGGGTGCAACCTGTCTCGCAATTGCTACTTACTCAGGACTTGTTTTGATTCGAGGTGGGGATCATCCATCTCTGAATGACTCTTCTCACGGGGGCTCACGTTGGTTTGGCCAGAGATGAGCAGATGAAAATTGAGCTAATTCAACGGGAACTGAAGAAGGTGTTGTCTAAGGGGAAATCAGCCGGAGTTTTGCGATTGTCTTTCCATGATGCAGGAACGTTTGACAGCTCTGACAACTCAGGTAAAGCACGGTGTTCACCGTGAACTATCTCATTGGTGCCGCCGTAGAATTCTGAAATTAGTTAAGTTCGCTGAACTTTTAAAGATGAGAAGAAATCTCCAACATAAATTGGTTGATTCCCTTGGTAATCATTGACGCAGTATTGTTCGCTCTGGTGTAATAGCGACTATGCCAATAAGTGCTGAAATGTCATTTTCTGGTGCTTGCTGTTGCAGGAGGGATGAATGGTTCCTTGCTTTTTGAGCTGGAAAGGCCTGAGAGTGCAGGTCTTCAGCGACCAATTAAGGTCTCAATTCCGAAATCCTTTACTTTTTTAACGCACTCTGGATTTTATTAAGCAGATCGTTGAAACCATTGCTGTACTTGGACTAAACCTTTTGATAATCCACATGGTTCTGATTATCATAATCCTAAATTGGTGTCTTGAAAACAGAGTAAAAGCCATGTACCAGTTTCCCTGTGTGGTTTACGTGCTTCAATTTTTTTTTATTAGTATGTATCGCCTCAAGTCTTTTGTGTAGTACCTATCCTTCTGTCTTTCGGTGATCTCTAAAAGAGTGGAACGATGCGGAGAAGGTTGGCTTGGCTCCTGCGCATGGATGTCAGATACCAATTGAGAAACGGCCCAAATTAGGACTTCGTGATTTTGGGTCTGTTTCAGAGTTGTCGTTACTTAATTATGTTGGCACAACATCAAAGTATATATTCTTCTACATGTGCAGGTGTTGCAGAAAGCAAAAAAGGAGATTGAGTTAGCCTTTCCAGGTATCTCTCCTGCGCTTCGCTCTGTTTTCACTAACGACGCTAGATTCATACGCTTTCATGGCTATAGAAACGCTCTTGTTGAGCTACATACTTAGGAAAAGGTTATCACCTACCTGATTTAGCTTGTAAATGTTGAAATATTGGCAGTGTCTTGGGCCGATTTGATTGCTGTGGCTGGAGCTGCGGCTGTTTTGGAATGTGACGGTCCTGTGATTCCCGTTAGACTTGGCCGACTTGATGCATCGTAAGGTTTTTCTTTAATATTTTGTTAACGATCTCGGATTCTTTGTACTCCAATGGTTATCTTTGAGGGTGCATATCTTCTTTTGGTGGCAGGTCTTGTGTCGTACTATGAAGTTCTTGCACTGTGTGGGATGCTTTAGGGATTAAATGGGAACTTGGTCGTAATGTCGACAGGGCTTCTTGAGTCTCATTTGTTCAGATCAATGCACACATATTGAGGACCGACTTGACACGATTTTTTTGTTTTTTTTCTACAGTGGGCCCGACCCAGAGGGAAAGATGCCTGAAGAGACACTTACTGCAAGTGAACTTAAGCGAACTTTTCAATCGAAGGGTTTCTCGTAAGTACCGTACATAAATGTATCTCATCGGCAATTTTGTTATACCAAAGATGAGAAAAGTATTTTTTTTCATGCATCGAGGCGACGTTCCTTAAATTTTCATGTTTGGATGTAGTACTCAGGAGATGGTAGCGTTGTCTGGAGCGCATACAATAGGAAATAAGGGATTTGGGAACCCCAACCTTTTTGATAATTCCTATTTCCAAATTCTGCTACAAAAACCTTGGAAAATTGGAGGTATGCAATTGTGTACCCAAAGTCCCTGATTCCATCAGGTGGTTTTGTGAACCTTATGCTGGTTAGGTTTGTCATATGCTCTCGTGACAGGAATATCTATGGATTATGTGTTCAGGGCCAGACGATGGGATGACATCTATGATAGGATTAGCCACAGATCGTGCGCTTGCTGACGACGAGGAGTGCCTGGAGTAAGTTTCGACAAATATCTTCTGCTACTAATGAGTTATTGCAGTTTGAATATTAAATCAATCTCAAGTGTCGGTCCTACTATGTTGAAGGAACTTTCAGCTTGTAAATCATCGCAAAGTATTACGTGGACGCTTGCCTCGCTAGATTGTGTTTTATATTGTTTTATTGTTTGCATGATTCTGATGGTCCGGCGCTGCTAATTCGTGCAGGTGGGTGCGTGTGTACGCAGCTGACCAAGGGCGCTTTTTCACCGATTTTTCAGCTGTTTACACCAAACTAGTGAACACTGGTGCTCGTTGGACCCCTCCGCAAGCCTAGGAGGGCACTCAACTATCTGGATCACATGCCTTCTTTCTAGATTACCTCCATTCAGAATGGCAGAGTAAGATATGTGTGCCTCTTTCAATCGCTTTAAGCCGTTTAGTATGAATAGGGTTGTAGAATTCATCGGATGAGAATTGTACATGATTCACAATTTTTGAGGAGTCCAAATTGGAATAAAACACGATTTTTAAATACTCTATGAATATATTATGAGTCGTCGAAGTGGCGGGGTTCTAGACACCTATAAACAACACTTATGATAACAGTGTTTAAGTGGTTGGCTCATGTTTGTAGCCCTTGTATCAATGATGGAATTCTCCTTTGTTAGTGATAGATTCTGTTTCATGTTATGTATAGTTGAACCTCACAGGTATCTGAATTGGGCATCTCACACTTACGTGTGGACGCACCTTACTCTTATGGCGGTAGTAAGTCAGGTTTTGAAGAGCACATTTGGGGGCTGCAATTCATCACTTCTGTCAAATTTTGCAACCGAGGTTGATGACTCGTGCAAACTTTTATTGTACACAAGTATCTTCCCGAATACAGAAAGCACTGCACTGATGAATTGTGGGTGTAATTTTTAGAAAGGATCCTGTAAGCTGCTTTATGAGAGGATTATAATCATACGTACTTTCCGAAACTTGTGATGTTGCTGGCTTAGGTAGGGCTCATGAAGAGCACTGAGGTCTTTGAGGTCAATGTTGACCATAACTTTTTGTTTCCTATTCCATTTTAGTTCAGCCAGAGCATTGGAAACTGGATGCACAGCTTACATCCATATTTTTGTAAAAGTGGCTCAATCGATACTTCTTCCTGAGCCTAAATGTGTGTAAAACTGTAAGGATTTATCATAAACCATTACACCTGCAGAGGCTTTTTTGCAGTGCAAAACCCGTGGTTAATATACTTACCCATTTATAAGTGATAGTTTGATTCCCTTAGATTTGCTTGCTCCCTGTAGACCTGTGGCCCCACACACTCGACACGTGCATGAAAGCACCTGCAATTCCAGTGCTAACTGGTTTTCACGGGCTGCATCACGTCACAGTTGAGGTTAAACTGTGCTCAATAAATTGTAAGATATACTTCTTCCATAGATAAAACTGTTAGGATTTGATAGTAAGGCCTATGCAGTAAGTGACTAGAGGATAATTTATGATCACGATTGTAAGAAGCATTGTTCCATGTTTTAAAAACTAAGATTTAGCATGGCTGCAAGGTCAGGAAAAAACATTGTATGTATCCAGAAACCAACACAGAACGATTTGTGCTGTGGGCCGAGTCAGAATGAACTCCTCTTATTCTAAAAAAAGCCTTACAGAGCATCGCTGTTAATGATGCATCATTAACACTAATGCTTGTCGGACCTTAGTGTAGACCATCCGAGATGTAGCGATCGTGAAAGCCGCTTTCGCGAGGCGAATTCTATGATATTGTATTTCCCCGCACGGAACACTCTCCAAGCAGCTCTAAAGTTCCTTCAAGAAGGCCTCAAGAAGCTGCAGCTCAGCGGATTGTCCTTGTCCAACAGCTACGCAGCAGTAACTTTGCAAGGTCTTCTCACGTAACTAGGAATTCCACAATGCCGTTTGCAAGTTCGTCGCTCGGAAACTAGATGAGTGGCCTGCAAGGTATCAACGTGTATCTGTATTCAGAAATTGCATCTTCTCATAACTGGCATGAATCTGGAGGCACTTGCGATATTGAATTCGTCGGAGGGAGGCAGTAGGTCACAGGAAACAAGAAGAGGTGCATTGTAGGTGATCGAAGCTTCCAAACGCACTTCCCAGGTATACATTTCGCTAGTAAGTTGGAAGATGGTTTGTATCCCTGCTCGTTGTGGAAAGAAATCAACTGAAAACTGAAAAAGACAACATCAATCTACACGAGATGGGTCTTGGTCGCCGTCTCTCGATCGCTCTCTGACTCCACAACAGCAGCGAGTGACCGGAGCTAATGAGTGTCTTCGAGTGGGGTTTAAGTGCCTTTGACGTCCACGCTGACAGCACCCTTCTCATGGACGATGTTCCTCACGCAGATTGTGTTTGGGAGTTAGATGGACTTGTGCTGGCTGACTCTGGACTACTCATGTGCTCCCTGTCGCTCATGATATAAAGCTCTGTAAGAACGGCTCTTTCAGCAATGTTGGGGAGCAATTCGGGAAGTTCTTAGGTCGCAGTGTTCGCATCAAACTTGGAATACCACTACAGTGTCAAGTTGAATCAGGTAGTTGCGTCTCCGGGTGGTTGTGTTGATCCGGCATGCAATGGCCAACTAGGACGGTCCGTTGTTTCTGATGAGATTCGTGTGTACGAGATTTTAGAATTGCATTTTTGCATAACTATACACGGGACTTTGTTATATGTCACGCTTGGTCACTCTTGAGGAGAAAAGTATTTAACAGGGGGGAGATCGTCTTTGGCAAGCTTTTGACGAACATGCTTACAAATCGTGGCAGCAACGGTGTCTGACTGTATTTTTGATTGTTTGACACTGGGGCAAGATGACAGATCTTGTGCAGCAGGGCGTTAGAGCTTAGTACCGCCACCAAGTTGAGGTTCTGACTCTTGCAGAAGTTGGTTGCAAAGAATGAGGCATTTCGCGGTTTCTCTTGAGCAAATCAAACAAGGATCTCTGATAGAGAATTTATCCATGTAGATTGTTGTGCATTGAGAGGTCAATCGAATGCAAATGGGAATTGGGGCATTTGAGAGGACGTTAGTGTCAGCACGCAGGGCGCTTCTGAATAGCACTACACTCATAAGCCCAGTACCTCCAAGACATGTGAGGACAAATTGCACTCTAATGGGCGTCATAGTCGTCCTCATGGTGTTGGCCGTAGCAGCCATAGCCTGCTGCTGTTATCAATGGGAGAAGCAAATGCGACTGCAAACTCAAGTTCGCAACAGCGCGGCGCAAGACGAATTCACAAACGGCACAAAATTCTCCGACCCTCCCGAAAAGGTTAGCATCATTTCCCACTGACGAAACCCTGTATTCCATTGTTTCGTCTATCAGAGCTCAACCAAATCCCTCAGCGTGCAATTCTAGGACAGCACACACATGCAATGACCAGAAACCATGTCTCCCTGGTTGCAATTTACACATCTTTGCTATACACGCATTGCCCTGATATGCGAATGTTAACAAATCCTACTTTGTTCTACCTGATTGTAGAATCCAGCCTTCACGGAGAAAATATCTGCAGGCAATCTCGATCATTCCGTCGTATGAAACATCTCAAATCCTTCCCCACCCGACGCACTTCAAATCAACATCGACCAATCTCAGAAAACCCAAATCTCACATGAGCATAGCCATCGTTGCCTTCATCGGATCTTGGGAATCACACCCATTCTCGGCATTGTCAATGTGGGCAGAAACTAGCAGCTGGAAACATACAATTACAGTACCGTTTTCGAGACATTCTAGTCTCTGGCTTGTGGGTTGATGGAGTTGGGCATTACTGCACTCATGCGGCAACGAGGCAAACACATCACTACGGAGCTGATCAGATTGTTGTTGACGAACTCGCGAATTCAGAAATCTCGTGGTAGAATGGCATCGCGACTGAATTGGGAAGCACGAGACGAAGCCGCCGCAGCGCATAAGCGAAACCCTAGCCCTGCTTTTTGTTCATGGCCTCCAGGCCTGCTTTGCTTCACTCCCAAAGCCTGTGAGAGTGTGTGTGGGTATGTGTTTCCTTAAGGCTCAGGTTTTCAATGTTGATATAGATCATTTCATTAAAATTCTCAAATGAATAAATAAAAGTGTAAACCACGTGTGAAAAAGTATAAAGAAACTTTTAGAGAAATACAAATATATATATATATATATATATATATTGAGTGCTTTTCATTGATGTCTTTCAGACATTGGAGTTCAACTAAGTTGGGGTGAACATGGTGTGACTATCAGAGTGAATGTGTGTGAAGAATTTTGAGAGATTATGAAGATTGTGGATGGATGAGGGAAAGGCGATACATCGAATTTATGTCTCTTTATTGTTTGTTTGACTACTATTGATGATATGAAAACTGTGGTGGATGATTGGATGAGATTTTTGTTATTGATATTTGTTTAAAGTGTAATGATTTAACATGATATTAGAGAATATTTGATATTTAAAGTTGTTTTTTTAATGTCATTTTGTTAAGGTTATTATATAGATGGATAATGTGCTTTAACAAATCACATGAGAAATAGATTAAGTTTTTTGAAGATTGTACACATCTTAGAGTTGGTTTACAAATAATTTTGTCTATGCATGATATTCAAATAATAACTTAATATAGGACACATAAGAATTTTCTATTTATGCACTAAATTTGGTATGCCTAGGAAGGATTACTAAATGCCTAGATTTGCACTTACATTGTACTATATTTTTTTATATTAAAAAAACCAGTGTTGCATTCACAAAATATTGTATTCTTTATTGGGTAGCATTTCATAACTTTAGAATTAAAATATTTATCAAATCATTTGTAAATTTGACTTTATTGTTAATAAGATTTATAAATCATGGAATTTAATTTTGTTTAGCAAAGATGCAATCAACAATAAATGTGAATAAATATAAAGAATATAAAGAATAATTACAAAATATTCAAGATTATATATATATATATATATAAAGTTATAACTATTAGTGGATATTAATTATTTTTTCTAATAACAATTTTCTATCAAGAAAACAAAACATACAATATTTATTATTAAAAAAATTTAACAACATTAAATGTGTGCATATATATATATATATATATATATATATTGATCTTTTTTATGTTAAGATAAATTTATGATTTCCAATTCAATAATGTCATTTTAACTCTGAAAAAATGTATTTTAGAAAAAAACAATCCTCACAAATAAGCAAGTAGGATATTTAGTGAACATGTGACTGAAGTATCAAAAGTTACCAAAGAATATGTATGTTTTTCTTGTCAATTGGATCAACAATTATTGACAATTAATCTAGCAATATATTCCATATTGACTTTTGGGGTTTTAAATAATATAAAAATACATACACAATGTCAACAACAGTATATCAACTATGCTACAATCAATTATAATTTACAAAAATGACAGAATAATAAACCTCTTTTAATTGATGCATTGAATTCTATCTCAATGATTTATTGAATTTTTTGTAGATCAGTAGCAAAATAAGTTTATAACATTTTTTGAAATATATATAGATATATATATATATATATGAAGTGAAGGTAAAGAAAGAAGTAATTTAAAAGTAAGAGCACTAATAAAATCAAACTAGCCATTACTGCAATATAGGTGTAAATATAAATTGATTTTATGCACTTAAATTCTTAACTCACATGACTTGTAATACTTGAATATTATTTTAGAATTTTTATATTTTTTTGTCTAATCAATATTTCTGCTATTCTAATTGATTGTATTATTAGATATGTTATTGCTACATTAATGCAACCAATTGTAATGAGTTTTGTAGATATTTAGACTTTATTAGAATGCTGTACTTTAAGACATTAGGAGATGAACTAAAAAACATATATATATATATATATATATAAGCTTAAAAGTCCCTCTAATTTCAAAACTATAAATAGTAAAACTATTGCAGCAATTTTTTGTTATGTTTTTATTGCATTGTTATATAGTTATTTTTTTTTTCAAAATTACACACATAAACGTAATCTGACTTTTAATTTTTTAAAATACATAAATGACATGATCAAGTTTGTAATTGATGAATTTTATGCAATTAATCATCATTTAACAGATTTGTAAATTTAAATCGGATTTTTTCTTTATCAACTCATTTAAAAAATAGTTTTACAATAATAAATAATTGTAAATCATTAAATAAAATACATATGATGCATTAATAAGTGATATATATATATATATATATGTATTAATTGTAAAGGTATATCATCTGATAATAAATATTCAATTGTTTGTAAAGAACATCTAGTACAATATTGATTATTTTGATTTTTTGCAAAATATAAAGCCCAAAATTACACATGCTACACACACCTACTAAAAACTCCAATTAGTTAAAAATCTCTATAAAAGAATCAATTTATATTATTCATTTATTTTTAAATTAATATTCATACTCATAATCTCTTCTTCTTTTTTTCCTTTTTTTATCTTTTTTTCATTTTTCTTTCATAAACTTTTGACATTCTTTCTCAATAGTAACTTAGGAAATAATTCACCCATGTTTCAGATAATCTTTTCTTTTACTAACACAAACAACCTTTCATGCAGTGATTGTATGTATAAAGTTTTACACATTTACATATGTATGCACAAAAATATATTTTCCAGAAGAAATTACGTAAAGATGCAAAGATGATTTCTTACAAAAAAATGTCTTCATTCAAAAAAGTATTTAAAAAATATATATATCTTTCAAAGTTAAATTATTTAGTCTTAATTTTCAAATACACTTTTTACTTAAAAAAATAGTTAATACTGCTGTTTACACACGGATACATATAAATATATACATAAAGTTTCACAATAGTAGCATAATAAAATGAAATACAACATTCCAACATTATCATAAATGGCTTTAGCTTCTTAAAAGTTCTATAAACTTCATATATGCAAAAAATTAAAGATCTACCAAACAGTTTTATTTACTTACTAAAATTTTGCATCAATTTAAAAAACAACTGGAAATACAATACTATGGATGGCGTATGCTAGTCATGGAATTCATTTTCTATCTATCTATCTAGATATACATATATATTATAAGTTAACAAGATATCTATATATTATAAGTTAACAAGATATCTATATATTATAAGTTAACAAGATATAAAAATCAAGCCCTCCTTTGTACCACGTAAGAAGAATATCCAACAACTAATATCTTGTGACACACGAATCAGAGAGACTGGAGGGACCACTAAGTAAGAGTTGAATGAAATGTCTAGTCCAGCATGTGAACAAGATGTGGCAGGGATCTTATAATTATCTCCTGGTTCTGCTACTGCTCACTTCTCAGCCAGTGCCTCAACTGTCATTCATCACTCATGAATGCTTGCTTCCTTACCCACGCTCGAAAGGACGTCGTCCAATTTCGTCCACTGAACCCGTCGTCCACATCACTATCGTTGGGTGGACCAGTGTCTCGTCGTTTATACCCACGAAAAATGCGAGAATCGTCAGAAAATCAATAAAGCACGAGCACCGATAACCGATTTTAGTGAGGATGATATCGTCTAGTTTTCGTCCACGTTCGTCGAGGACGAAAACCCGCCCAATTTGCAAACTTCCCGCCCCCGCGCTTCGATGACTTTTTTTGAAGCTTGAGCGGAAACTGAAGTTCGCGCACTTTCTCCACTGTCCTCTTGTGCCCTGGGCGTTAGTCTTGAAGCAAAGTTTTCCGAACTTCCTTGTTCAGTTGTTCAGTGCGGCTTCTACTCTCTGTTAGCTAGCGCTTCACGTCCCTGTGTGGCGGCGATCTCCATACACTGTAAGCTATCTCGCTTCAGTTACCGAGAATTTTCGGTCCTCTTCGTTGTAGACGTGTCGTTGTGTTTTGATCCTGTGTGGAGGTGGCTAGAGTTATCGAGCTGCTGGTTTCGTGAACAGTTTCAATATTTCTGTAGTTTTATAGCATTATTTCTCGCTCTATTACCTTTTTGTGGTACTTAGTCACAGTAGTTGAGAAGTCGATGCGCGTTAAATTCATTTTCTATTTCCTGCTGTGGCGTTGTCGATTACGGACTGTGTAGTCTACGAAGCGGATTCACTTATGAGGTGTTGGATGCCTTCCGGGTTGTGACTGCGGTGGCCGTTTTATTTGAGGCTGAGAGTGGATGCGAGTTGCGCCTCACTCTTCGATCCCCGATATTTTTAGAATTGTAGTGTTTGAGACGCAAAGGAAGCACTTGGTTAGTGCGAGGCGTGGGAATGACAATGACCACGGCAATTAAGCATGCCAATCCTCAGAATGCTTTGAAACGGGTCTGTGTTGATCCCAGCGAAATGAAGCGCAGCGCTAACGGAAGCGGATTTACACGCTGGTAATTCTATTATCTCTTTGTATCCATGGTCAGAGGCTCCGAGTCACGAGTACTGAAGCTGAGGATATTTTACTGCTGTTCGTCAGTGAACATGCCTTACTTTTTTCGTGCAGTGATAAGTGCGAAAAGGATATTGCTGCGGCCAGGGTTGACAACCACGATTGTGAGCAGGAGGCGAAGACAAAGGAATTGTTGAGTAAGTAAATTTTGCCATGGTTATCTGACTGTCTGCAAGGGCGTGTTCATTAACTACTCTAGTGCTTTTAATCTCTTCTTGATTTATTATATTTGCAAGAAAAGAGACTGGTCACTGAAAGCCTTAACACCTACCTATGCATGTGTGACAGCCAAGATGAAGAAGCAAGTCATGAAGCAAGTCGTGAAAAAGAGCGATGGTGCAATGTATTGTCTATGTCCCTCAGCTTACGTTACTTTTGTTGACAATTTCCCTTGAGACTAAGATATTTTTCCTCCATGCATGCCATACTGAGGGCATCTCTTCTTAAACATTCATGGTCAATTCCTGCTCCAAGGTGTTACAGTTTGTATTAACAAATCATAGTTCTGCATTAATGACCACGTTTGTGCACTCGAACACATTCTATCTTTTATTTGTCTTTTTACCTCGCGCAAGCTTGGCGTCGACTTTGAGGGTTGGTTTCGACTTACTCGTGTATTGCGATGCGTGCAGAAAGAGTACGAAGCGCAAATCTGAGCCGAAAGTCATCAAAAAGCAGGCGAAGAAGGTTAAGACGAAAGATCCTAACGCACCCAAGCGACCAGCGTCAGGATTCTTGGTATTCATGTACGTGATTCAACAGTAGTTTTGTCATGCTAGTTCTATCCGCGATTTATCATGTTAACAAACTGACGAATTCTTTTCTCTACGCAGGAGACCTTAATCTCAATTCAAGGTCAATGACACTGTATCCTGATTGTATTACCATCTGAATGCTATCTTTGCCTTAAACTGCTTGCAGGGAGTCATTTCGGAAGACATACAAGGACGCTAATCCTGAATCGAAAGGAGTGGCAGCGGTGAGTATAGATTTCCGCATTTTCCGAGTCCTTTCCCCATTTTCCGCATGTAGGTGTCTGTGTTCCGAATATGACTGTTTAAAGTTACTACCTTATTTGCCGTACTGATAATAATTGTTGTTGCTTATGCAGGCTGCCAAGGCTGGCGGCGAAAAGTGGAAGCAAATGACGGAGGAGGTGAGTTTCGAATGTATATGTTTGAGTGCATAATCGATCCGCTTAAGGGATTGATGAACCGCAACCATACGCTTCCTCACATGTGATTCCTTATTATTGCAGGAGAGAGCTCCATACAATAAAGACGCAGAAGCAAGAAAGCTTAACTACGAGCAAGCCATGACAAATTACAAAAATAAAGGCCCCAAGGTTGGCAATGCGCAGTGATTTCTTCATCCATCTGTACAAATGTTTATGCCTACATTACCATAGTTATTAACACTAAAAATGTCACATTGCCTGGCAGAATGACGAAGGAGAGGTGTCTGAAGCTGCTGCTGAAGATGAGGAGGTGCGTGTCCTGTCTCTTGGCCCTGCTGCAGTTGCTTTAATATGTTTTTCGACTGTCTTCTGATGTCTTTGTCTCTTTGTACAGGAAGCTAATGTCGAGGACGATTAGTCTCACTTCCGAAGCAGGTAGCTATTAAGTGCAGGGGCGGAAAACGGTTCCTTCAAGAGATGAGAAGAAATTCCATTTTTCCACCCTTTTAGCCTGCTTGATTCTTTGAAACATCATCATAACTAGTACTTCCGGTTCTGATGTCTAGTGTAAATAGTGATCCGCGCAGTCTAGGACTTTAGCCCGACCAAGGAAACCGTCCTACTCCGTTGGAAAGAGAGTTGAATGTTGACGTGAAGAATTTAGTAACCATTCATTTTAATTCGTTCACTGTAGTTGCATAACTACCTTAAAGATCTGGATGTATGCTGCATACAAATTGAATTGTTCGAATTGTAGGTCTACCTTCACGAGTACAACAGTCAGTTCTGTCTGGGCACTCTACCTTGGATTTCTTTGAGGTCATCTTTACTTATACCTGCCACCAGCGGCACTCAAATTTGTTCCCGTTTTTTTATTTTTCTTGCACTCTTCTAATCTGTTGTACAGCCTGTTCTTCTATGTTGCACAATGTTCCTAGTTTGCAGCCAACTTCCTTTCTTTGAGAATTTTGTCACGTTCTTAGTGTATTCGAATGCAATGTAATTTGGAGAGTGATTATGTCGTCAAATAAACAAATACAAAAACCCTCAGACACCAACATATTTGGAATGAAAAATATTCTCATATAGTTGTGTTAATGATCATAATATAATGTCGCAACTGTGGATTAAAAATTTTGCACGGCTCTGTTCAATCAGAATTAACACATCTACGTAAAACATACCTTGATGTGTTCAATTGGCCGACACAGCTGTGAATGGTTAAATCTTCAAAATAATGTCACAAAATTTGCAAATAAATCGCACATACAATCAGGCAGTAATTTCAGACAGTTGTGTCATTGACATCTGATAATTAATTGAAGCCACTTAAAACCACAATTGAAAGGGACCTTAATGTTTTAATTGTGATCTCAATACTAAAGATTTCATTATTTATTTATCAACTTACAGTTGGAAGATAGTGCATATCTATGTCACATTTTCAATCATTAGGGTGAAACAAAACTTTTCTAACAATGGCTTCAGCAAGTCCAACATGTTCACAAATCAAGTTTCAATGATGGAAAAAAAAAGTTTCTTTGTCTTCATAAGATGTTACAAGATCTTACTCTATCCATTTGTTAGGATTCATAATTGTCTCTTTTGAAGGAATTAAAATATTTGATATAGATTGTTGTTTTGCTCTAATCTTTTTATTTATAGAAGACAATGACAAAAATAAAAAGCAACAACAAATACTTAAGAAGAAACCAAATATTAATTTTTAATCATCAACCTTAACTTTTCTATGTACTTTGCATTGAATTCTTTCTAGCTTTACTCCAACATATTATTGAATGTAATTTTATTTCCTTCATATATATCCTCAACACATTATTATCTTGTTGTCAAAATATATAATGAAGTTCTAAGGATCTTGATAAATTCTTTTGCAGTATATAATACAAAAATATTAACTTCAAGTCATTTATATTGTAGAAGATTGTGTCACAGATATACATAGCTATTCTAATAAATACCTATATGATTAGATAGAAGTAGGTAAAAGTAGATAAAAGTAGGTTAATCTCATAATACCTTCTAGAGAAGCTTCCTAAAAGCTTCATAGATGCTGCTTTGACTTTACATGTATTTGTAGTTAATTAATAGGTATGAAACTTGGTCAACAAGTTAATTACATCTTAGTAACTTGTGAAACAAGCTAACTATGTAGTATACTTAAAAAAAACTTGCCTTAGAAGTTAAGATATATGTCTTGTAAAATCAACATGTTTTAGAAGTCTTATTGGACATTGCTTCATAGTTCCTAGTTAAGAGTACATATGGAAGCAAGAGTGAAGCCTTCTTCACTCTTGTCAATGCCTTTCTAGTTCTTAGTCTTGTTTTAAGACTTTTTTGTTTTATTATTTTTATTTTTGGCAATAACTATTCTAATTCAATATTATATCATCTTTGAATATTTTTCTAATTCTTTTCAATGACACAAGAGCATATTGAAGATTTTTTTTCTTCAAGATTCATGTCCTAGACAGTTTGATAAAAGTCCTAACTTACTAATTTTATCTTCTTTTAGAAGTGAATAGATTACCATACTTCTATTTTTGTATTTTCAAAGTTACAAACTATCCACTTTTAAACAAAAAATCTTATTTTTTAATACTAATATTTCTTTTAAAGACAAATGATTATCTCTCTTTGTGGAAATTTTCATTTGGTATTAGAAGTTACGGATTATCATCATTTAATTTAACTTTTTGAATTTGTTTGAATTATCTATAGAAAAAAAGATTATGGATACTACTCTCAATAGAAGTGAGAATAAATTTGCAATTATTGTAGATCTTCATGAGCTTCTCAACACTCAAAGAGTGGAAATCTCATGTATTTCCAACATGAATCATGGAGGTACTATGCCTACGCGTATGGAAGAAGTTTAGAGTATGCAATAAAAAGTTGTATAATTGAAGAAAGCAAGTAGATCAATCTTACAACCAAATCTAGGGAGTTTTGCTTATATAAGTATGATGGAGATAAGGATTAATATATTTGAGAAGTTTGATGGAACAAGATCAAAATTTTGAGGATTTCAGCAACGAGTCAAGTTCTATTTAAGGTTATATCCTTTCTATTATTCCAATGGATTTACTCAAGTTGGATTTATAGGTGCACTTCTATCAAGAAGTGCTCTCTCTTAGTTTGCATCTTTAATAGAACAAGATTCATGACTCTTTTATGATTTGAATTCATTCTTAGAAGTATTTAAGGCCAAATTTGGTAAAACTAATCAAAAAAGAGTAGAAGAGATTAGGCTCTTATCTTTATAGCAAGGATCATGGTTAGCTACCATATATGTTGCTCAATTTGAAAACTTTGCTTGTGATGTGGACTGGAATGACAAAGCCCTTATCAATCAATTTTAATATGAGTTGAAGGATTATATCAAAGATTTTTTATTGACAATGCCAAAGGCAAAATCTTTGGAATAAATTATTGTTCAAGCTATTGCATGTCACAATCAGTTATTTAAAAGAAGTTAAGAAGTAAGATATGGCTAGAAAAAAATAAATCAAATTATGATGGCAGATTCTAATTTTTCAAAAACTTATTCATCAAGGCCAAAACCAATGCAAGTTGATATGATACATTTTAAATCTCTCACAAAGCAGGAAAAGACTTGATAACGTTAAGAAGGCTCATGCTTATATTGTAGAGAAGCTAAATACACTACTCAATATTCTCTAAAGAAACAATGCAACCACAAAATAAGAAGCATGGTTGCCAAAGAAGAGGATGTGTCAGAAAATATCAAAAAATAAGTTTCTCCAACTACAATAGGAACCGTGCAAATGAAATCTTGCATAATTCCTAATAAAGGTCCTATTCTCTCATAAAATCCTTCACCTTGTTTTACAATAGAAGTTTATTTAGGATCAAAAAATCACAAAGTTTTACCTTTGTTAGATTTAAGAGTCTTAGTCTATTTTATAGACAAAGATTTTATCAAAAAATAAGAGATATTGTTAGTTAAAAAAACTAAATTTATACATATGGAAGTCATAGATAGTCGTTTGCTATCTTCTAAAGATATTATATATGAGATTGTTTATTTAGATATATCAATTATAGATCATAATAACATAATAATATTTATTATAATAAGATTTCTTTTTAATTTGATTATTTTAGGATTATTTTAATTAAAAAAATTACAATCCTTAAATAGATTTAATTTTTGTTAATCTGAATTTTTTTGATAATTTAATCCAAAATTCCATTAATCAAATAAAAATACATAAGTTTAATACATCCAAACATTTACTGGTAGGTACAAAAGCTTTTATGCATGCCACAAAAGAAGGATTATCTTTTTGTTTTATATGCCATGCTCATTTTTGATAGTGAAAAGTCATCATGTGGTATTCTTAGCCAGTATTGAGATTTCTAGGATGTTTTTGAAAAAAAAAATATAAATATTCTTCTAAAGCATTGCTCTTATGATTGTTCCATTGATCTTTACAAAGGAGCTCAACTACCATTTGGACTAATCTATAGCTTATCACAAAATGAGTTGGTTGCATCCAAGGAGTACATTGACAAGAACTTGGCTAAAAGTTTCATATGTCATTCTAAATCTTGAGTTGGGGCTCCTATCTTATTTGTAAAGAAAAAAGATTGATCTCTACAGATGTGTGTGGACTATGAAAGACTCAACAAGATCACCATGAAGAATAGATATCATCTACCTTTGATTTTAGGACTTTTTGATCAAGTCAATCAAGCAAAGATCTATACAAAAATAGATCTACAAAGAGTATATAATGTGGTATGCATTAAAGAAGGAGATGAATGGAAAACTATGTTTTGAACCAAGTATGGGAATTTTGAGTATAATGTTATGTCTTTTGGATTCACTAATGTACTAGTTACTTTTCAACATCTAATGAATGAAGTCTTTTGTGATTTTTTTTAATGATTTTGTCATTTATTATTTACACAACATCTTTATCTATTCTAAGAATGTACAAAAAACATAAAATTTATGTTTATTATGTATTACAAAAATTTAGAGATGTAAGATTATATGCAAAGTTAAAAAAGTATATATTCTATACTATTCAAGTTGACTTCTTATGATACATTATTTCCAACAAACGGCTAATGATGGATCCAAAGAAGCTCAAGACTACCATAGATTTAAAGATTCTTAGAAAAGTTAGAATTGTGCAATACTTTTTAGTCTTTGTTAATTATTATGAGATCTTCATCAAGAATTTTCTCAAGTTTCAACTCTACTTATACGTTTGACTTGTAAAGACAAATTTGAGTAGAGTAAAGAAGCCAAAGCATCATTTGATACTTTAAAAAAAGACTTTACTATTATATCAATCTTATATTGTATTAACTTCTTTAAGGTATTTTTTTATAGAAATAGATGCATCAGAATTTATCTTGGATGCTGTATTATCATAAATGAGAGCAAATGACAAATTCCATCTAATAGCTTCTATTTTAAAAAATATTTTGCAGCCGTGATTAATTGAGAAATTCATGATAAAGAGCTCTTTGCAATCATGGATTCATTTTAAGAATGATATCATTATTAAGAAGGTACCTTCAGTCCAGTCACCTTATATACAGATCATAAGAACTTCAAGTATTTTATATCAATATGTGATTTGAATTGTTACCAAGCTTGTTGAAGCATATTTTTATCAAGATTTGATTTCAAGTTCACTTATCTATTTAAAAAACAACAAGGTTTATCAAATGCCCTTTCTAAATGTACTTTTATTGTATCAAAGAAGAAGATGCATCTTTTC